GGGCAGAAACTGAACCCAGGCAGTTCCATCTGAAGCTGAGGAAAAACTTCTTGACTGTGAGGGTGACAGAGCATTGGAACAGGTTGGCCAGAGAGCTTGTGCAGTCCTCTTCCTTGGAGATATTCAAAACCCGTCTGGATGTGATCCTGGGAAATATGCCCTAGATGACCCTGCTTGAGCAGGGAGGTTGGACTAGATGATCTCCAGAGGTCCCTTCCAACCTAAACGATTCTGTGGTTCTGTGAATATGGGCATTACTTCTTCCAAGCCCAAGTGTTGGCAATCCTGCCCGGTAGGTAGTGGCTCTCTAATTCACTTAGTCATGCGCTGTTTTGTTGCTTAGTTTTGTACAAATTAGGCTAAACAGTTGGCACAGTTGTTCTGTTGAAGGTTCAGACTTCGTTTCCTTACCCCCCATGTCTGAGGGTGAAGAACGGAAAAGCAGTGTCACTTGTGATCGCTTCTGCATGCGGACGTGAGCCTGGTCCTGTATGTTGTGTGTGGGAGACTGTTCTATTACATGCTCCTCTTCTGGCCTTATGGGCCTGCTGATAGCACTGATTGGATCACAGCACGCTGTGTATGCTCAAATAGATAGTGATCACAAACTCCTACTGAGAAAGTAACTTCATTTCTGTGGAAGGTCAGGATTTTGCCCTAAATAAACAAAACCAGAAGTACTTCCAGGCTCTAGCTGTACTTTTGAAATGTCAGCATAGGTGATGAATCTTTCTTAGAAACAATAAACATCTGAAAATATAAACTGAAGATGCCATTGCTTTTTTATCATGCTAGCACATTGTTCCATGACTTACAAATCGCGTACTCTCAGCAGCCTGCCTTTCCTACAGATTAATTTTCTCGTTGAAGTATGTGTTACATGTGGTATTTTATAAATTCTGTCCTACGTTATTCTGATGACACAGTAAAACCAGCATCCCTTTACCACCGTTGGAGCTGTCAAATAAAGACTGAAGACCTTACCACTAGCTTACAGGGAGAAAAGGAATGAAGTTTAGAGTGATGCTTCTCAGCTTCCGGCACTGAGGAGTTGTGTGAGAGCTATTGCTGAATGCACAGGCCCCGTCCTCACAGCAGATACCACCTCTGGACAAAGAAACAGCAGCAGACAGAATTATAAAATTTGCTTCTTACAGCAAATAATTTAGTTTGTATCAAGGAGGGTAACATTTTCTCTGGAGAGACAGTAAATATAAATACTGTCTAAATTCAGGCTGATGCATAGAAAAACAAAGAACTCCAAAACTGTAGCAGCAAATGCTGCTTTCTATTTGAGTTGAAGTTCAAGAATTTATGATAGGATCTTGCTGCTGTAGTAAGCAGGTAGAATAAAACCTCCCTGAGGAAGTAAAGAGAGCCTCCTTTTTTTGTGTGTATGTGTGAATTTGATCAGACTCTGGGTAACCGAATGAAACAATTCTGTTTTTCAGGTCCTTGCCTATTCTGTGGCCTGTTCCTGTGTCTCTGCTTTCAGTGTTGGAATCATAGAAGCAGCAGAGGCTGAGGAGGCCATGAACAAGCTGCGGACTTTGGTGGAAAATAATCAGCAGGTCATACTCGGAGTTTGGATTTTGCTTCGTTTCTGTCTGTCTCTTCAGTATTTAACACTGCAGACTGTTCTACCCAGTCCATCACCTGAAGAAAATATATTGATCTATTTTGAGCATTAACTAACATTTGAGTGTGTTGTGCATACCGGTTACCATGATAACCATTTGTTCCACTGATACATTGCCTATAGCTGTATAGCAAATACTAAAGGATGAAGCAAAAACAGATTTTATGTATGTTTGATTGGATTTAAAAGAGAATTTTGTACTTTGAATTCATAGTGTGTTTAATTCCGGTGCCTTACCAAATATTGTTTTTTCTAAAACATTTTTCTTAAGATCCTTGGTAGGAAAATACATCTGTGCTTTTCTGAAATTTTACTTTCTCTTAGACTTCAGACAGTACCTCATAACCACTACTTCTGGGTATCTCTTTCATCCCTCAGTGTTTTAGGATCACACTGTAAAAATGACCAAAATAATCTCTGTATTTCAGTACTTGTTCTCCTCCTTTGTTAAATGCTTGCCAGGAGAAGGAAAAAAAAAAGAAAGAAAAAAGAAAAGAGAAAAAACATAACCATTTAGAATCAAAGTCAGCTATGACAATGGCCATCTGTCTAGTATGTTTATCTGGAAAATGGCAAGTCAGATTAAACTACCTTTGCAGCTGCTTTTCATCTTCACGTCAGGAAGTCCACTCTAAAATAAGGCTCCAGAACAGTGTATGTGCCAGAGACGGGTGCCAGTCTTAGAAAATCCTATGTCACTTAACATGAGCAAGTACTTAAAATAATAAAGCATCCAATGTTTTTGAAGAAGACATGTCTTCTATTATCGAGTAAATTTAGGGGAAGTGCTGCCTTAGAAATGTTGTATGATTTGGTTTTTCTTTTTAGAAGAAGAATACATGGTCGTTTGGAAGATCTGTTTATTAATATGTGTATTTCTTACCTTACAGACATCCGGTTTTGCTTTAGCTCTAGGTACGATTGTTCATGGTTTGTCAGCTTGTGGTCATGGGAAAGCTGAAGACCTGAGTAACAGGCTAATGCCAGCCTGGATTAAAATTGTACTTGCAGAGGTAAGGGAACTTGAATTCATAGGCTGGGGAATCTGTGTTTTAAATGAATTGTAGAGGCATAATTTTTCTTGCTTCTGCTGGAGTAATGCTAGGAAAAATTGGGACTATTTAAGCATGTTGTTTGATGTTTGGGAGCAAGAATATATCTCTGGACTCTTTACTAAAATAAAAAAAAGCTTTCTTTGGTTTATAAGAAAAACTTTGGCCTATGAGATCTTACTTCAGATATCTTTACTCATTTAAGCAATATTCAACGATGAGATTCAGGTTATAATTTCACAAGGCATCTTGATTTAAGGTTCTACTTAACAAAAAAATTAGACTAACAGAATGGTGATTTTCCTTTTTAAGCTGTGTATTTTAAGTTTACCCTCTTAAGTGGTTGTTTTATTAAGCAATAATTTGCTCTTGTTCTGTTTTCAAGATCTGGTAATTGCTTTCTGTATGCTCCAGGAATACTAAGCGTTGCACTGTAGCCTCTGACTGCATTTACAGCATTGTAGGTGGAGCTGAACAGTTCTGGGTGGTTTGAAGACAGCACTTGTCACTGCTAATGTAACTGATTGGAGCGTGGATTAAAATGTATTCATTTTTTCTGCTTGCTGTTCAGTCGCGATATTTTATCTTGTTGCACCAAAAATTATATATATAAAAGCAAACTCTAAATTTAAACTTTTAAGATAGGAGCTGAAGGTAAGTCCAAATAAAAGAAAAAATGTTTCAGAATTAAATTGCCGTGGCATATTTTATGGGGAGTTGAGCGTGCTAGAAGGAAGTGCTTTGTCAGGGAGAAATGCATGATGATTTCAGACTGGGAGGGGGACAAGTTCTTTTTAATGCAAACCTTTCATTCAGGAAGAGTGGGAGGACAAATGATACAGTTTGCAGGAGGCTGACCTGAAAAAAGTTACTGGGCTGGGAGGTGTAGAAGTGATAGTACTCATTTTTTTAGGTTGGAACAAAAGCCTTTTCTTGAAAGTATACAAGTGTATTGTGGTACAGCTAGTGCTGTATGACCTGAATGTTGCACTGATCCTGAATTATACTTTCAGGGCTCTCCAACAATGCAGCGTCTGGCTGCTGTCAATGGGCTAGTTGCACTGGTGGGTTCTGAAGGAGGCATGATACAGGTGAGAATATTCAAGCACACAGTACCTTTGTCTCCTGTAGAAACTGAGTTAAAGATTTGGACTAGAAAGCAAGATGGGATTACATCCGTGCATCCTTGTAGCAGTGATCACATACCAGGGCGTTCCATTAATGCAACAGCAAGTAATGTTGGGTCTGTACCAAATGGGTCTCTTCCGTTTTCCCATTATATGGCCCATGCACGGTGCCATTGGGGAAAAGCTTATGGCACTGTAAGCTTTTTCCTCTTATCCTCTGCGTCTCAAAAAATATATATATATATATGTACAAATGTAATCTCTATTTTCAGCACCCGTTTTGTGTTTTGTTGTTTCCTTTTTTCCCCCTTATGAAATTCACAGAATATCTTCTTTTCTCTGGCAGCTGAAATCTGAGAGCATTCAGTCTTCCCAGTTTCAAAGTAAACTCAATGAAGTCATCAGAACCCTTACCCAGGTAAGGGGGTTTCCTCTGTTTCCTGCTCTGGATAATGCAGTATGGCACTGTAGCACCTTGCACAAACAAGACGGTTCTGTGTGGAGAAGGTGCATAATGTCGGTGTCTAGCTTCAGCGAGGCGATGCAGCATTAATTTGAGACTTTCTGACCAACTGGTGACGTATTGTCTCCACAGATAATCAGTTTTTCAGGACAGATTGGCCTTCAGACAAATGCAGCAGGGCTTTTGGGACACCTTCATATGTCTTGTTTGTCTTCTACCCAGAGCAGGGCATCTGGTAAGCTTCTGCATTATTGCTGCTTAAAGAACAAATAGCAGTAGCACCTAACCAAGAAGGGAGCAAGGGACACATTAGAAGCTGCAGACTGCACAGTGCACCCATATTAAATGATATGGTAGCCTTTGAACCAGAGAGCTCGTGATCTCATGTGTCGAACCAAAAGCTAGAACACAAAAGCAGGAATCGGTGTGCTGAGCAGTATGCCCCTCGTCCACTTTTACTTGTGATGTTGAAGTAAGATTCTAAGTTGTTCCAGTCAAACTTGTTTATTACTTCTGTTTTTATTCTGTTTAAAACTCCTAGTGTAAATTATAAATGATTTTAAATTGCTTATGACAGATGTATTTGGCATCTAAGTTATCCACTCCAAGGCCTGAGAGCTGATTAATCTACTCTTTATTTCAGCACTTCCCAGTGTTTAAAAAAGCCAACACAGAAAAAAACAGTCAGTAAGAACAAAAAAGGGCTAATTTTTCGAAAGAGTATTTTTCTAGAAGAGATCTTTCTGGTTAGCCGAAGTCTAATACTAGTTTCTGTACCCTTTTAATGTAGCTGTTAACACAGAAAGAAATTCATATTCGGCTGATACGCCATTTCCTTCTGGTGCTGTTTCAGTATCCACTAGGTCAAATTAAAGCATGGATGAAATATGAGTAACAGGAGGGAACTAATGAAGTGGAGGCTGTTCACTGCCATGTGAACAAAGCTAGACTCAATAACATGAAGTGCAAATAAATTTCCTCATCCCTAAGGAATGCTCTTGGAGTTCTGCTTCTGGATAGCCTCAGCAGAGGTGCCTGAGGTTAGATAGATATGGAATGCCTGCACTTGTCTTAACTTCTGAAGCGCTCCCTTTTTAAAGCCTGACTCACACCGGCCTCATATATATTAGGAAAATGGTTACCACTAGCTTTTCTGCTGATGAATGAATTTGTTTCTCAGACCTGGCACCTCTCACTAACACTAATATTTAGCTTACCTTAAAAAAAAAAAAAAAAATCGGCAAGGCCAGTGTGGTTATCAAGAGCCTTTTGGTGTAATCGTTTTAAATCAGTTACAGACTTGGAGTTAGCTCAAACATAGTTCACTTTGACTTTTGAATTTAACATCACCATTTATCCTGACAAGTTTTATTATATACAGAGCCTGTTTGTCTTCTCAGTTCCTCCAGATTTTAGCTACTTGCCTGAAAACAGCTTTATCAGAGCAGCTATTGACTTTGCCATTGAAGGTGGAAAGAAAGGTGAGAAGGATCAAACTACAGTAGCTCTCTAGGAAAACTGGTATGGTTGTAAAATGTGACCCTAACACCCTACTTTTATTTACTGTAAGAACTTTTCTAGATAGTAATTTGAGCTTCACTAACTTAGGACTTAAACCTCTAAATATTTCTGCAGAGACTTTTAAAACAAAAAATGAATTACATTCACAAAGAGCGCAGGATGATATAGTTGGGCGTTAGCTTTCTCTGCTGAATTTTTCCGACTTTTTCATCCTTATCCCTTCCCGCACCCCACTCTGCCTGTGATGATGGGAATGAAAGCCAAATCACTTTAAATCTTTGCATGTACCCTCAGGGCTACTCCGTCATCAGGCAAACTTTCTTCTAACCGTTATTTTAGTGATACGTGGTTAAGTGTTCTATGCATCAGTCAAGTTGGTTAGTACGCTGTGGTAAAGGCACGTGAACCTGAAGAAAGGACACTCTCATGTGAACAATGCTAGACAGACTGATTTTGGAATATAATCTTAATGGAGATAAAACGCAGGAGATTATTCCTGTGCGTAACTGCATGAGCTCAGTGCTGTTCTTTTAAGCCGGCTTTACTTTTGCAGGAGGTAAAAAGTACCTATGCCTTGCTTCCAGGAGGACTTATTATTGAGTTAGCTCACAGTTACCTGTTTTAGATCATTTCCCGTATAGATCTGAATAAATGTTCTTCTACTGCCAAAATGCAAAGATACTTACCCAACTGAGGGAGGGATATCTGTAATAAAATCTTAAACTGCTTCAAGTGAGAGACCAGAAAGTTACTATTTATCAATAACAAAAACACTTTTGAAGTAGACAACTTATATTAGAAAATGTAACTGTTGATTACAAGTGTGACAGGTAGTTCTCACCTACAAATAGAAAAATGCTAAATAATTTTATAATGCTCTTCAATTTTCACTATAAACTGGTGTTTAGTGCAGTATGAAATGATGAACTGTATTCACATATCTTTCTTGAGCTGTTTAAACAAATATATGTGTATAAAATTCAGACTGTGGTTGACTGCTCTGTTGCAGGCCCAGAATCTGTCCCAGCTCAGCTGGTGAAAGTCGCTCTGTCACCCGTTGCATTAGTTGGAGAAAGTCACCAGTATCCGCCTGTGAACTGGGCATCCATTCTTTCTCCTTTGATGAGGCTAAACTTTGGTGAGTTTCATAGTTTCTTGGAGCTTTTTTCATTCTTCTCATAAGACTTGCAGACTAATACAGCTTTCACAAACTGTAGAGCCCACGAATTACTTCAGGAATGAAAGTGTTTTGTGCTTTCGAGGCCAACTTTTTAAATGTTTGCAAGCATATATTTGCAGTCACTCTATGGAGACATCGGATGTGGACATATTACTAATAGAGTAGACTAGAGAAGATCAGAGCTAGGAAATTTAGAGCCAGGTTGGAAGTTCCCTAAAACATTGGTGAGTTTGGACCAGAAGAGCCTAAACTAGCAACTGACTGCATCTTATTTTGACTGTGTATTAAATGCAGGTTCATTGCTCATATTGGAGGATGCAGGCAACTGTATCAGAAATTTGAAATGCTCAGCAGTTCATCTAGCTGTTGCTAATCAGAAAAATGGCGTCTACTAAATCATACTGGATATTGAGAGAAGCATATATGTTTTTGCATTGTGATCCAGATATCTTATTGCATTCTTTAGGACTGTTTTTTCCTCATGTTGAAGAATAGCTTTGTCCCTTAATTATGATTTTGAACAGTTTGTATAGTAACTTCCTAGTCAGGATATCTTTTGATACCAGTTTCTGTTGATGCAAACGTCTGAGTTCAAACTCCTTTCCTTAAAAACACCTATAAAGTTCTGTTTTCCCTCGTTTGATTCTACTGAGTTTTGTTTCTCCTAATTTATGTAATTGTTATTGCTGGCTTTGCAGTTTCTCTTACAACTGGGCTAGGCAAGTGCTATTGTATTTAAATTTATGTGCTATAGAGCTAGGAAAGGGTAGGTTGTTCTTTTATCTTTCTGAGGGTTATTTTATTTTTATGGAGTGCTTGTATCTAAAGCACTACAAATCATTGAACTATCCTATAAGAAACTTACTTTGCTAGATAAGTAAAGATTTGTCAACATATTAAATGTTTTTGCTGATAGTTGAGCTGAAATTTCTGCTTTACTTGGTATTCTTGCAATTGATTGTAAAGTGATTGGTAAGAATAAGTAAGACTATCCTATACTGAGCTTTGCAGTCCATGCTGATGCAAATTTGTGTGCAACCTTATGAATAGCTGAAACTTGTTATAAGCATGGGGAATTTTTTTTTATTCCTGTTTTTTACCTAGGAGTTTGACTTTTGTAAATCAGGGGAGTTCCAGAGGAAACAGTACCTCAGTTTTGTGCCTACATTTTTATTGAATTTAAACAGCATCATAGACTACTATTTTTTTGGTTTTTGTGTGTGTTTTTTTGTTTGTTTGTTTTTGGGGTTTTTTGTTTTTCTTTGTTTTTTGGGTTTTTTTGCTTTTGGTTTTTTGATTTTTTGTGGGTTTTTTTGGTTTTTTGGTGTTTTTGTTTTTTGTTATTGTTTTTGTTTTTTGTTTTTGTTTCTTGTTTCTTTTTTGTTTTTGGTGGGTTTTGGGTTTTCGGTTTTCTGTTTTTGGTTTTTTGTGCTTTGGATTTTTTTGTTTGGGGGATTTTTTGTTTTTTAGTTTTTCATTTTTTGATTTTTTTATATACATAACTAATTTCTCTTAATTGTCCATCTGTAGTGTTATAGAAGTTGCAAATTGTATTTAGATTACATATGCATGCATAAATAGCTCTTGTTATGTGCTAGCGATCATTATTCATGTTGAGCTAGAAAGTATAATATTGGACAACTTTATTATGACCTGTTAGTCAACCTAGAAACGTGAAACTCTGAAACAGTTTTTCTGGAACAGCTACATCATGAACATTTTTATGAAAAATAGACTATGGTCCTTTCTCTCTGATTGTCTAAGTCACTGTTATTCATATCTGTATATGCATGACTATTTTCATGAACCTTAAACATTTTACTAATTCTACTGTGAATATTTATTCATCTGTAAACATATTGAAGACAACAGATTGCTTTCCCGTCTTACGAGGTTTACTGCTGTAGTGATAGAGCAGAAAGAGTTTAATATGCTTTAGGTGGCACTGGTTTGTTATTCAGTAGCGCTCTGAAGTGAACAGTCATAACCACATCAGAACACGTGATTTAGTAGTCCAAGCTAGTGAGAAAAGATTTTGAATGGTTACCGAAGTATCTTCCAACAATTTCCCCCTTTCTAAGTTTGGCAAATGAAGAGAGCCTGATGTTAGGGTTCTCAGACTCTTTGTCCTACTCATGAACTAATGTTAGCAAATTATACAAAAGCTATGCTATGTTGTTCACCACTTTCATTACTGAAATAACAATTTAACTAGCAAAGCACTGATTTAAATATTATACTAGCATTTAACAATAATGCATCTTCTGTCTTATGCGTTAAATGTCAGTATAATACTTAAATTCTTTGTCCTTCTCTTGCTATGACAATAGTGAATTGCATGGAAGCCATACCACTGCACAAAGTACCTCTTCAAAATATTTCAGTAATTATGGTATTAAGAAACAGTTTGTCCCAGTCATTAGTGCACTGTAAAGACAGCCCAGTAAAAAGTATTCCGCAACCATAATAACGTGCACGTATTCTAAGATCTTCCCACATGTAACTCGGGAGAATACTATGTCCAAACTTCAGCAGCCGTAACGGTCAATAAGCTCTGTTCTGTGACATAAATGTTTTTTTTGAATGAGCATATAGTATATGAAAGAGTATAAGCATGAGACAAATGCTAATTATTCCTGAACTTATCAGGAAGAAATGTGGACTCATTTCTTCTTCAGCAGCTTAAATATTTTCTTCATCTAGAAAAAATATTTTAATTTTTTTTTTTTCCTCATTCCCACATCTATCTTCTTGATTGAATTGAAGGAAACTTGGAAAAATCCAGAGACTTCTCGCTGATAGTACATGAACAGGGAGAAGGGACTTTTAGAGTGTATATGATAAAAGCTTTAAGCAGCATCTCTAGAAATGCGAAGGTTAATGTAGTCCTGCTGAGGTGGAAAAATTACTTGCCTTATTTTATGAGTAGAGAACAAATTTCAAGTAAAAAATTTCTTCATAGCTTCTGTTTGTTTTCTTCTGCTTTAGGTGATGAGATAAAACATATCTGCCTTGAAGTGGCTGTGACACAGGCTCAGTCATCTCAAAATGCTGCAATGCTTTTGGGGATGTGGGTGGCACCTCCCCTCGTCTACAGTCTCAGTGTACGTATGCCAGAAAATCGGTGGGATCTCAGCACTTCTTTCCTATGAGTTTCCTCACCTACTCTGATGTTCAGGATGTCTCACTGAAAAACAGTGACTGAGGCTCAGAGTTCTGTAGAAATGTTGTTTAACAAATGTCTTTGACTGCTACATTGGTTTTTATGTAGATCGTTTAAGACGTTTTTCCTCTCTTGTGATATTGTAGCTTAGATAACCAAAAGATGTAAGGAGAGCACTGTATGTATGTAGAGACAGGAAGTATATTTTATTATACCAGATGATGGACATGGAGACAAGTCCTACTTCCCTTTCTGAAAGCTTGCCTGTTTCTTTCGGCTCTGTCACTAGATCTGGGAAGAGGTGTTACTTCTCCTTGAAAACTTTGCCTGAGTAGACGTTTAACAGACTAACCTTTGGGAGAATCAAATTTGGGGTTATTCTCCACTATGAAGTGCAGTTCTATTTATGGAAGTTTGGCATGGTCTTGATGAGGTCTCCATGGTACAGTTTTACAAACTCCCTGAATCCCACAGTACCTCTTAGTGTGCAGTTCTATCAGCTTATATTAGCTGAGGAGCCTGTTCAGCACAGTTTTCAGAAAATCCATTGTGGATTTCTGTGGCCTTTTCCAGTTCAAGTGGTTGCTTTCTCTGTAATTTTTAAATCTTTAGCCTTCACAAATATGTAAACACTTAGTAAAGATTTTAAGATATTTATTAGATATTTATTAGAGTACCAATAAAGGACAGATTTGATTTCTCAGCCCCTATTTCTCAGTGCGGTGGGATCTAGAGGTTACAAAATGATCTCAGCTGCAAGATGTGTTAGTTCTGGATCATTTTAAGATGATATTCTTTTTTCCTCACCAGCCAAAAATAATGAGAGGGCTTGGAATACCATGTTTATGTCCTTGACTGCCTATGTATGGTCTGTATGCTTTATGCAGGAATCAGTGGGCACCATATAGGGAAGTTACAGTTGTCTTCTCAGAACAAAAGCCAGATTTATACTGAGGTAGCGTTCATTGAAAGGAAAATCCTTAGTATTTAAGAAACATAGAATATCGCCGTGTTTCAATTCTCTTTAATTCAAGCAATTCATTAAAAGAGGAAAGAAGAACTGAGAAGTATTTATGCAAAAGATCTGTTTTTGCTGACTTCAGGTGCTTTTGAAGTGGTGCTTGAGCTGCTTTTTACGCTGTTATCCTTTATAACAATAGCTGAAGGTCAGTGAAGAGTTAGAATCTGAAACTAAGAGAAAGAGAAGCCCTTTTTTTTTTTTTTTTTTAAACACAAAAGAAAATTATTAGAGTCCTTGGCATGTGCTAGTGTAAATCATGTGGGAAAAATTGCTGGGTTCTCTCGCTACTTGATGGCAATTTAAAATTTTATTTTAATCTGTTGGATGATGAATGAGACCTCCTTGTTTGTAACTAGCTTGTATATAGTACAGGGAACACCCGTGAAGAAGCAAGAAAGGAATCTAATTACTAGGCCAAACAGAAAGACATAAGCATGATAAAGATATTTAATCTGGAAAGTACTGCAAACCTTATGACTGTAATACCTTGTATTTTCTTTTCAGGTGAAAACCCAGAAATACCTTTTCTTGTCTCTGCCTCTCTGGATGAAACATGTTGCAGAAGACAAACTACAGTCTTTTACAGAAGTGTTTCTGATGCAGCAATTTGAAGTGAAGAACCGCACCAAAAACCCAGCAATTTGCCAGTGTGTTTTACAGGGTCTCAGCCAGGCAATGAAACTTCCAAACCCTGCCCAGTATTGCTGGACCTTTCTGTGCCAGGCTGCTGAGAAAATATTTGAGCTTCTACCAAATGAAATTCAGGTAAGGAATAAGTATGGGATATAAAAATTCAGAACCCTGTTACGAACATTGTAACTGGATATTTTTACTGATTTTTGTATCCTCTCTTTTTTTTTCCCGCTGAACCGTCAGATTTGCAACATGAAGTAGGATGTAAAATTTTAAGGGGAAGTAGTTAAGATTCCTGTGTAATTTCAATATAAGTTATTTTCAGGTATTTTGGGGGATATGACTAAGTTGTGAAACCAATCTTATGTACACTGTTCTGTCATTTAGTATTTGGTAATGGAAAAAAAAAGAATTAGTGCTGAAATAAATTTTATTGAAACAGAGACAGAAAACAATAGGAAGAATTTTTTTTCTTTTCCAGGGAGAATTCAGCCTCTCAGAGTGCTTTAAAGAAACCATCTAGTCACAGAAAATACTACTGAGGAAGGGCACTTTTAAAAAATAATCTTTAAATAATTTTTCAAATATAATTATTCCTTAATCATTAAGTGCACTGAAGGCCTCAGCAAATACAGAATTTGTAAAATAGAATAAATACTTAATCTAGTTGCTAGCTTCTTTTTATTTATCATAATCATTAACCAGGTTCCTGAATTCCTTCATTTTAATGATGAAGAAACCTGGTCGTATACATACAAATATGCATTCACTTTTCTGTTTGCAGAGAGATGAAGTGGATATGTATATTGATGTAGCAAAATGTATCTCAGAAATGACAGATTCAGAGATTGATCACATTACCCAGATCTCTAAGGTAATGACTTTTTACTCCTAAACTCTTATTACCAAATTATGTGAAATAAACCTACCATACTTTTTTTTCCTTCTGTCAATGGAGTATTTTAACTCCTCAAGAGCACCGATAAATGTATTTACATCACACATGTGATTTAGTTTTGGTTCTAAACTATAGGCATCAGAGAGAAGCAAAAGCAGTTAGGATCTATATCCAAAACCCTCTCTTAAAGCAACCTAAGTATTGCTGATCTTAGCTTGGCCAAGTTCAAAATGGGCTCTGTTAGCAGAACAGAAATGGTATTAGATCTTCTGCATCCCAGTCTAACGATACAAACAGTAGACCATAGGCCTCTGGTGTTAACCTAACCACATATTTAAAACCTCACCCTGGTAGCCAACTGTGCTTGAGTTGATGAATCCTTGCTTTTGTTAAAAATGTAAGATACTTTGAACAGCCTTTCAGTGTTGTTGATTTAATAGGCTGCATTTATATTCACACTGAGAACATTTCCTGGTGGATAAGATAATTAAGGATGACAGTGGAATTTAAAAGCTTTCAGGTTCTAACTCACCAGATCACTTAGCAGTGGAATTCTTAGCAGTTGAAAAATATTGTTTGCTAAGGAACGATGGGTGTGGAAGGACTTGGTGATTTCAGATGAATTAATTACAAGGAAACATTAATAACATAGAACCATGCTGTTCTGCTTACTGGCAGATTCATTAGGGAGACCAAGCATTTAAATAGGATGTGGAAGCTAAATTGTCATTTCTTAATCAGTTATCTCTTTAACTTGTGATTTCCACATTGGAAAACGCAATTTGAGAAGATCGTTTTTGTCACTGCAGTGAACCTGTCTTGTAAGAAGATTTACCTCTCCAGAATGTCAAGCAGGCTCTTTTCAATATAAAGGGGAGTGTGGAATTTAAAGCAGTGTGGAAACAGTCAGACTGTACTGAATTACAGAAGCTTTTAGAAGCATACAAAATTGAAGTAGTGCGTATGATCTTCTGTTTCATCCTTAATAACCTATCTTAGAAAAAATGAGCCTGCTAAATAATCAGAAATGCCTCCTGTCTTCATAAAGATGAATGCAGCATTTCCCACTGCTCCCATGAGACTGATATATTCTAATTTCATGTGTTTTTCTGTTGCATTTGCAGAACAATATAGAGAAGGCCACCTTCACCAAAGTGTATTTAATTTCTCAAGGCAGACTGCCTCTGATGAACTTGAGTGCCTTAATTGATACTGTGGTAGGGTATCACCAAAAAGAATCTATTGCATGGATGCTCTTGCATGGTTTCTATCACACTCGTATTGTGAGCCATGAAAACACAGGTAAGGGCGAGGCTTAAAGAGTAATCAGCTGCAACATGAACAAATATTGATGGGTCTGAACTGATCCTTTTTAAATAATTTTAAGACAGTGTAAACAAATGGTTTTCTGATTTCTGTGGGTTAGAGACTGCTTTCAACCTTCAGAATTTTTTAGCTCTTCACATGCTTGTATCAAACATTGCTTTTATGCTTGTTTAAGTTCTTTATGGCTCCTTGGATCAGCTACAAGTCACTTACTGTAGCCAAGTGGTTTGCAGACTACAATTTTCTTTAGATCAGTGCCTTTTTGATTTTCAAGTGTAAGGGAATGTTAGAAATGTACCCAGCACATTAGACACCACTAGTAGTAGTATAACCTTGCTATCTTTCAGAGCTAATGGCTGACTTAACTGGTGTGTGATACGATGTGTGACACAACAGGCAGAGGTTTCTATGAGATTGATTGAGTCAGGGAAATAAGTTGCTCTTCTGAACTCCTTGAGCTGACTTAACATGGGAAACAAATTACCCTTCCTCCTCCCCGCCGTAGCAGATAATTATCTGCTGAGTTAATGATCTGGGTTAGCTCAGCTAAGGGTCTGGTAAGTGCTGGAGCTGGTGCAAGAGAAGTATAATCACTCAAGATGAGGAAGAAGCAAATGCAGAAGGAGGGAGGAATGAGATCTCTCCATTCTCATGGCATCAGGACCTTAGGCTGATTCAGTTGTTCACAGAACAACAATTTTAAAGCATTATTTTACAAGTGCCCTAGGTGCCAACTATGGTGAAAGAACTTCAAACAGCAGTGAGTTTAGGATGAGTGAAATGAGATTCCTTTGGATAAAAGAGGAGGCCAGATGGAAGAAGGGACATGCAAAGAATAGCAGCAGAAGGCAATGTATGAAGTGACATGGTCTCAAAGCTAGAGATGAGATAAAGCTGATTATTTGTATGTTGGACAAAGGCAGAACATGTCTTGGGCAGCACATTGTAAATCAATGAAGAGAAGAGGTATTACTAGCTCTGACAGAAGCTTCATGAAGTAAGTAGAAATAGGGAGCATTACTTGGAGGTTAATATCATGTTACATCCTTGGGTTGAGGATTGATGATGCTTGTAAGTATTGACTATAATCTAGTGATTCTGTCTGCATTGTGGGAGCATTTTGTCAACACTCCCCACGTGTACAGTGATGTCAGTGCTAAGCTTGGATGAAGTATTGGAGGAAGGACCTCAGCAAAGTTTTAGGAGTCTTTGTTAGAATTTTGTAGTGGCCACATCTGTAGATGGCATTAGTGGGATCTGCAGACTCTCTCATTTACGTGAAATGATTCTCTCCTGGCATACTTTTTAAAGTGTTTAGTTTGTTACCTTCACTACAGGGGCAGTTTTAAGTAGTATTGTTTAATTGCCTCTATGCTTTCTTCCACTGGCAGCAGTAAATTAAATATGATAGTGGTACTGGTGATTGTTGTTCCTTCACAGTCAATGCTTTGTTGTTACAGTGATTCCCTATACTTGCTTTTTAAAGAAAAATAGTACATTGTAGTGTTTAATGTAAACCAATAATCTTGCTCTTCCAGGAGTGATGAAAAGAATGGACTGGCTGCTAGATCTGATGGGCTATATCAGAAATGTTGTGTACAAATCAACACCTATACAAAATGTGGATCTTAAAGAGGTACATGCTGTGAAAATAATTTGCAGCTTTCAGGCAAGAGAAAAATGGTTGCTGACCTAACATATGCTCTTTGTCAGCAATAAGTATTATTCCTCATGCTTTTATCTTTTAAAAAGCTATCATCTTATCTCCATAGAGAAATTCCTCTCTGTTTATTTTATTAATGTATATGTATTTAAAACTCTTAATTAAAAAAAACTGTATCTAAATTGCGAGAAAGGAAGAGGAAAGCATTGCTTCAAACTTGCTCTATTTGGAACACTTAAAGTTTGAATTCACCAGTAGAATTGTCTAATCAGGTCAGAACTCTGCAGCTACCGTTTCAAAGGGAGGTTGGGCAGTTTTAGGGCACCAGTATTGTTCATTGTTACATGTGTTCAGCCATTTAAATCTGCTTCAGGACATAAATTGCTGCTTGGGTTAGAAAGGAGTTTGTTGCATTGCTGCAGTATTTCCCAAATGGCTGTGACGCCGCAAAGGTGTCCACCTCTATAAACTTCCCTGAAGAGTCAGTTGGCTATAAAGCTGCATTTCCCCATTTTAAGTGAACAATGGAAAGGTTAATTTTTAGAAGAGTTTGGTTAGCTTCTATTTTTATAGACATTTTAAATTGATCTTGATTTTCAGAAAAAAACCTCTTCTGTCTCGAAGCGTAAGGGAAGCTATTAAAAACTTTTTAGTTCTTGCTTTTGGAAGGTTAGCTGAGTTTTCAGGTAACAGCTCCAGAGGTTATATGTTGAAGAATACGTGATCATATGCTTTTTCCTATATTATTCAATTAATGAATTGTCCTCAATGAATTATCATTGAGTTAATGAATTGCACTTTTGTCTTTTTCCTGTTTAGGCCATAGACTTCCTCTTGTGGCTCTTTGCAGCTTCTGTGGTTGCCTGGGCTGACCATGGTGCACCATTGTTGCTTGGCCTCAGTGCCAACTGGTCACCATGGAAGCACGAAAGCGTATTGCCAGAATTGTCTGAGGATCACATTGGCAAACAGCCCACTGCCAAGCTTGCTGTGCAAGAGACTCTGACTCTCCTTCCAAGCAGCATTACCCTCTTGCTAGCTAAAGAGCCTTGGAAAGAGCAAACACAGAAGGTAAAGTTCCATGTAGTGGTAAGCATTTTCCAAGAGTTGGAAAGCACTCAGTTCTTAGTCAGCTCAAGTCTTAGGTGAAGTAGTTACTTCCTCTATATTTATTGCATCTGACGTGTGGTCTTGCTTTTCTTTATCCACAATTAGACATGACTTGTCTCAGAAGATGTAATGTGTGTTCTCAAGTGAAATGAGTTGCAGAGAAATAAAGAACATTCCAGTGTTGGAAGTCAAACTCTTAAGTGGGTGCAGCTGGGAGAGAAGAGCTGGCAGCTGTTGGTAGCAAGTTAGCCTTAACTAACATAAAAGGCAGATCCTCTGTAGCTGGAGATCACCACAGTGGTAATTTATAGCAGTCAGAGATCCTCTTTCCAGCTTGTAATGTGTCATTTTATTTTCAAGCATATGACAAGAACAGATGTGGGAAATTGTGCCTAATTTGACACACTCACAGTATAGATTGCTTATGACTGAGATCTATGGAGAAACCTGCTTATAAATCAATAGATTCATAGTTAACTATTTTATGTAAACTGGAATCTATTCAGGACTGGCTCATGCATGCTTCTTGCGCTCAGAGCTCCCACTGAAGTCAGAGTTGGAATGTGAGAGGTATGTAGGAGAAGGCTGTTAATATGCAAGTGTCCAGTTAAGCTTTAGGAAAGCATTTGAGAATGTGCCTTTAAAATCATCCAGATAAGTTTGAAATACCACATTCCCCTCCAGGTAGCATCCGCTGCCAGTGAAAAAATGAAAAGAGAGAGAGGTCTAAAGAAGGACAAAGATGGTAAAAGTGCTGAAGGTTTTGCCTTTAAAATGTTTGGCCAAGAGAGTGATAATAAAAGGCCATGTTGAAAAGATAATGGCATAAGTATACAAGAAGGAGAGAAAGTGCTTCCTTTGTTATGAAGGGTTACTGCTGAGGCAGTGGGAAGGAGCAAAGGTAGTTCCAGAACTAACAGTGGGAGAAAGTACACTGACAGGAAGAGGCGCTGTCTGGAGACTTTGGATAGTTCAGGCAGAAAGTTGATTGGCCACTGCCTCTGATTAGGTAGTTACTCAGGTTTAGCTGTAATCAGATGTTGCTATCAAGCTGAGAGGAACTTGTGCTCTGATACAAGGGCTCTTTTAATTTGGATTTTCCTTTTTATTTTTAGTTTATTGACTGGCTTATCAATATGGCGGAAAGTCCTACGGAAGTGTTATCAGAATCTTCCAAGGATCTGCTGAAAGGTAGAATGTTTTTAATTGGGTCTGTATCTTTCTATAACTATTAGTGTAGAGAAAAGTCCAGTGCATTAAAGGAGTGTGATGAACCAATGCTACTGGCCTACATAGGAGAGCTGTGTATTGTCTTTAAGGAAACCTTCATAGGTAAGATAAGATTCCCATCTGTTCCACCTTCTTAAATTCTTTGATATCTAACATGTTGACTTTCATGATGTGCCACCAGAGATCCAAGAAATCTCAAGCTACACCTGGTCCTACGAGCCCATTTTGGTTGGTCTGCCATTTGCTTTTAAAGTTATCCTTAAAAACAAATGTAACATACTGTTTGGAAACCCTCCAATACTATAATAGGAAATCCATAACCATTTCTTCAATTGCAGCTGAGGAATGAACGGTGGGGAAGGGACAGGAGACAGACAATGAAAAGCCTAGTGCAGTGGTCTGACTGGAAAAAGTAGAGGAATGGGGTCTGTTGACAAGAAGGGTGAAAAGAGATGGAAGTTTATTTTGAATTGCAGTAATATCCCGTGGCCTTAGCTTGCACTCCATTGCTCACCTAGATGTGTAGAATTGTGACATGCAAGTAAATTTAAGAGGTCACCACAAATATTCTTGAATGAAGTGAGTGTGCTTGCGTTTCTTCCATTAACTCGAGGCGCCTTATTTGAATCACCTGACTTGTTGGTCCTAAACATGGCTTGATGAAATCTGGTTATAATGTTCTTTGCATTGCTAGGATAATTAGCCGTGTTTGGAGGTCCTGGGATCTTTAGGCACTGTCTGTTAACAGACTGAAAATTCAGATATTGTGTCTGCTTCATCTCTGGAAGACATGAGCTTAGAATAGCAGAAATAATGCTGAATGTTTTTGGGGAATCTCCTCTGAGATATAGATATAAATAAAAAAATAAAATACACATACATACATACACACACACATACTCACTATGCTCTGGTTAAGAATGAATCAAAGTTTTTCTTGAGCTTCTTTTTTAAGTACTAGAATATCATATTCCCTCCTGGATGACTTGAATGTGACTGCTTTGGTAACTAGATTTTACCCAAAAGCATGAATCTTTCAAATACAATCAGTGAATTGCACAGAAGATTTAAGGCCTCATACTTTATGATCCTCTCCTTCCCAGTGCCTCCCATCTCCCTTCTTGGATCACTGCTTATAGGATTCAAGATGTTGGTTGACCCATGTGCCGTTTCAAAGTGATGGTCTGATTAGCAGATGGTAATGTGGTAGGGTTTGAGTGGGAAACATGCTAAAAAATAAGTGAAAGGTCCAGTACAGCCTCCCATTTCAGAGGGCTGTAGAGACTAGTGTGGCGTGTGAACAGTGGAAGCAGGATCAGAAGCTCACAGGCTAACCATGAAAAAGTCATGAAAAGAGTCACTGAGAGAATTGAATCTATACCAGTGTTAGCAAAAAGATGAGGAAGAATACTCTTACAACCTTTGCAATCTGGGCTGCACATGCTAATGTGATTTATCATTCTTTTTGCAGTTACACTTCTGGCCTTGAGATCTCTCACAGAGTTCAAGAAGAAAGCAGTATGGACTAAAGCTTATGGGTGGTAGCTACATGCCATGTCTTACCCAGTGAAGAAAACTGTTCATACTTGAGAGCGAAATCTACATAGTACTACTATTCAGGCATCAAGACGACCAGTTTCAAAGATTTTTGCCCGCTAGAAAGTTCTTGATTCTCTTTTTTGTTATTCTCACCCTTCCTCCCAAAGATTCATAATGAGAAAAATCGTCTGCTTTTCACTGGTAGGGCAATTTCCTCTTACAAACTATCTTACATTTGGGCTGTGCTGAGTCTAAATGAAAAATATACATTTCGGAGTTATTTCAGTGACACAGCTGGAGGGGAATGTTCCTTTAACCCATGGAAACTTTGTAGGAACAGATGCAAAAAATAAAATCTTGTAAAAATTGTTTGGATGAGGCCTATTTACTAAAGTGTATGTTAGTACAAAAGACTTTTGAATGAGCACTCATTTCTAACTGATAACGTTTTATAGTAGTAATAATAAGTTGTCTTTAGTAATGAAGACAACACAGCTTTATAACTGAAGGCATATAACATGAGCACTGTTTCTGAGAGAAGTAGTATGGTTGTCAACTTTATAAAAGCTTTATTGGGATTATCAGGATAAATCAAGGCGTCTAGTGGCTGCTAAATCTGCAGTTCCAGGATAATTGCAACTTTCTTGCACTTGAAACTGTTCTTGCCTCCTTTTACCCCATGCTGCTCAAGAGCTTTCTTTCCTCTGCCTCCAGGGAAAAGGGGCACTACAGCAACTCTTTTTCACCTTTGCCAGCTTAAAATAGATCAGCCTCTGCTATTTTCCTTACTCAATATCCTTGTCTTTATGAAGGAATAGACAAGCTCGTCTCTTCCCAGCCTTACTAAGACAGAGCTTGGAGGAATGTTTATATTTAGCAAGCACCTTCACTGAAGTAGAAGAAAAATTAACTGAAAATAAGTCATTGGGCAGTGGTTCCTAGTGTCTTCTAAAGTAGTATCAGTGAAAGCAGCATTGATTTTTAGCTATCTGGCATGAAGCGTTGTGGGCTACTTCCCCAGGCTAACGCCCTGTTGTAGGCATTTTTTTCATTTCAGTACTGACAAAATTGCCTGTGTAGAGAGAATTCTGCTCTGACTTCATCCTGGGCGTTTCTCACCTAGCAAGGTTACTCTGGAATGGAGGCTAATGGCAGCCCCACATTCCTTCAGTGTTTAGGTATGTGGAAGCTTACCGCAGTATTCTTTTGTATTTCCAAAGTAGTCTGTAATAATGGTAACCTCCTGTTCTGTAAACAGCTATATACTGAGAAGACACTCAGTTTTAACAGGGAATGTACTGAAGATCTCACTGAAGGAAGTTACCACCCAGGCAGCACCTCAGTGCATGATGTTCAGAGCAACCTCTAGCAAAGGCAAATCTGTGACATGTTTTAATGGTGCTGTCTCTAGCGTACTGCTTCTAAGTAACTTAACGGCTCTAGTCATCTGAGTTTGTATGTATATTAGCGTTTTAGTTCAGATAAGAATGTACTTTTTCAAAGGAGTCTCTGGGTAATGCCCACACACTATGATTTCATTTGCATCATGGAACAGCATGGCACTTCGTTCCTTAATTAAACCACACTGAGAGAGGCACTCCAGGGACACCCCAGTGAACTCCTGCAGTGCTATGTGTTTAGCCTACAGGACTAAACTAGAGGTAGTCTGAAGTAAAACACTCTGAAATGCATATAGGTTGGCTGTTGGGTCCTCACTATGAACTTTTTATAGATCCATTCCTATTCAGCTGCTCTACGTGCAAGCGTAGGCATGACCTATGTTGGAGACTGTTTCTCCTATTGTGTAGTTAGTACCTGTGCTGGAGAAATGAATATGATTTTTATTTCTAGGTGATCTGTTTTAAAATAATATGTTCCTTTGAAGATGATGAGTTTTTAGAACTTGGGTGGACAAGTTAACTGCTATTGCATTTTAAATGTGCGGGGAGGCAGCAAAGGGAGCTGGTGATGAAGTAATCAGTCGACAAATTTCATGACTCCAACATAGCTGTTTTGTGGGCAAACAGAAGAGATAAAGGCTAAAAAAGAAATGCTGTTGTTTATCAGTTAGCAGATACAATTTCTTTTCCACGCTGTATGTGTTCATGTATATATATATTTATGAATTTCAGAATCTCACAGTACATAAACAGTATCAAAAGTAGACAGTTTTTTGACTAACATCAGACAAATGCAGTAGTCAAATATCCTTCTTCTGCTCTTAAAGAGATTGTGTAGCCACTTATAATTACACATCACACTGACGGCTCACTGAAACACTTTCTACTAATATTCCTTCATCCTTGTCTTTAGGGAAGGTTCTTTTTACCTATGTGTATGTACTTATATGTAAAAAAAAAAAAAAAAAAAAA